CTCTTAGCACTTCAAGCAATGCAAAAAAAGCTCAGTGTGTGTGTATGTGTAATTTCTGGCCAAAGGTCAATGCAGTGCAGGTTTCCTACAATTCGTAAAGAGTTGAAGCAGATAGTGAATGTTACAGCTCTTTCGGCTGCTGTCATTACCTAAGTAACAGCAGCTCATTATTCCACATTTTTATATGACTTCTTTCACCAGCTAAGTATATTTTCTGCATAGACAGAAAATATTTGTAGATAGAAGCAGTGTATGACTGAGAAGAGATGAGTTTTGGAATGAGAACACAAAAACATTCCAGGGGAATTTTGTCTTTCCCCTTAATAAAAAACAAACAAACAAAGAAACAAACAATTTTAGGATGAATCGCAAATTCGTCACTCTTTCATACATGTCATTTGTTCTTCCATGTTCCTGTGATCTCTTCAAGGTCCTAGTTTCTAAAGCATTTAATAATAAGAAACAAATAAAACCAGTTTTCTCCCTGCTAGAAAAAGAAAAAAAAAAAAAAAAAAANAAAAAAGAAAATGAAAGTCTAAACTTGTCCAGGAAGAGAAACTAGTTACATTAACTCAGCTTACTCTATGACAGGTAATGCCTTTGAAACCTATTGCACAAACGCAAGAATTATAGACATCAGCAATTGTATTTGCAATTATTACAGAAGAGAAACAAATGTCTGAGAGACTTATTGACAGCTGTCCCTTTCTGCTATTCTTCATAAAGTTGCTTTTAAACAGGCTTGTAAGACAGGCATTGCAGAGACTCAAAAGCAGACAGGTATAAACATCAAATCAATGTCTTTAAGCAAAGCCCAAAAGATAAAATCCTTTTAGCCTAGACTGCTTCCTCTTTTACTTCTATCACTTCAAGCAATGCAACATGTTGCTGAGCCATTTTTTAAATTCTTTGATATTTTTCGTCTTATTCCATTTATTCTTTGGTAGCTGTTGGTATTAAAACTGATGTTCACAAAACTGAGTGAGTTGATTAATAGGTATTTTATACATCTGGTATTTCCTCATAAAAGAATGGTAAGCTTATTTCAATTATCATACCACCAACAAGGATGCAATCTGTTCACAATGGCTGTTTACGAGTGGCTGCTTTGGGTAATGGCTGTTTTCTTAGCATGGGAAATGAAATATAATATTATTAAACAGAGATATGCAGAATGGTGTGTCAACTTATCCATCTTTCTGATGTTTATAGGCTTAATTTTTTGTAATGTTTATTTTATTTTATGGGACCAAACGTTAAAGTATCACTTATTTGAAAGCATCTAATTTCTTTTATTTTGGTTTTAATGTCCTTGAATATTAGCATCCACAAATTCATGTGCAATCAGTGCAGAAAACCTGTGGTAGGTACTCTATTAATCCTATTTAGAGAAACATGTTGTAATGAGAGAGATAATGAGCCAAGGAGTTTAATTTTTTTATGTTTTACCCACAAGGCTGAGGTTGTCTTCTTTGGTATTTTTTTTAAATAAATCACCTGTAAAATGTCTTAAAATGATGCATTATAATCTCAAAATTGCTATGAAAATACAATGTGGATGAGATAGCAAAAAGTGCAAATGTAAGACTGGATGGTGAAGAAATGAACATGAACATTGTAAAGATTTTAAACAGAACAATAATTAAAATTATGTTAGATTAATACCTCAGGTAGTGAAAGAAAGCACCGTGGTAAAAATTCAGGTTTTTAGGAATAATTAAAGTATAAATATTTATTTTTGAGCAGGGAAAGAGTTATTTTAAATTTGCAAATCTACCCATCAAACAATACTTGCTGAGATCTCAGTAAATTATATTTGAAATGCTAAATATATCAGAACAGTTTCATAAACCACTCACATGTGTAACAGAGACAGTATCTGTTTCAAATACTCAGATATTTAAGTCTATCATATACAAATTTGAATTTTGATTAAGATTTAATTTGGGGGAATAAGAGAGGAATGCACACCTTCAAAATATAAATGGATAATGACAACAGAAATGCTTCTAAAATTTTAAGGTGCTTTAAAAACTAATGTTTTTCAACAGATGATATCTCAGAATTTACACAGACCTAGAGACATTGAAAATAGAAATCACATAGATGGTCCTACCAAGTAAAAATTTCTTCCTTCTTGCCATTACAGAAGTCACTGCTACTAAGAGAACTGCTTAGGATTGAATGATTCCTTTATCTTCTTCCCTCATACCCAGTAAACATATACTGACTGTTTTGGTGTCTGCCACCATATATTTTTCCTGTCTTCTTATGTAAACCTTGACTGCTAGTAGTGATACCACCTTTGCCCTTTGCTCTGCTGCCAGTTTTAACCTGCACTGTGAGTCTGCTTTTGCTCCTTAGAGTAAATGTAGATGCATTCTGCAGCTGTTTATGTATTTTCTTCCTCCTCACATAATTATTCTCACTGTATTTGGTTCTTGTAGCCTTCAGCTTCTCAGCAATGTTTTAATACAGAGCAATAGCTGAGGTTTTTTTCATAAGGAACTATATTTCTGGTTACTTAAGATAAATAGTATGAGATAAACAGTTTCAAAAGCACTAACATCACTGCCACTAAAGGCAGGCCACTCAAAACAAAGTTTTGCCACTGAAAGCCTTAGTTTTATGAAGCCAGACTGACTTCACTAATGCTTACCTGAGCTCAAACAACTTCAGCTACAAAGGCTACCTAAGATGTTTCTTTGCTTATTGCATAAGGCTGATTCCTTTTGATTATGGTTTTTGATATGAAATTAATGAAGTTTTTAGTCTCTTACCTAGCCAAAGATGCTGGAAGGACAAAGAAGGGTGGTTTAAAGGACAATTTAAAAAAAAGGAATGCATTGAATACATTAAATTTATTGGGTGAAACAATTTAATGAAGAAAAATACTAATTAAATTATTAAAATTTAGATTGCAAGTAGTAATTAAAAAGGCTGTTGCTATGCAACGAAAAGGATTTTTGTGACAGAGTGCAAAAATATATTTGTTAAGTATGCTGGTATTTCACTTTGACCTTTTTCAGTCATACACCTGCCCAAACTGTCTATAAATGTATTTTTGAGAATGAAAACATTAAAGATATCTGCAGAATAAAGAAGCAGAAAGACTATTTGAATTGGTTAATGGGTTTTATTATGGTTAAAAGGTTAAGGAATCTGTGAGATAAAAATAGATACATATATATAATTATCTATAGAATTTGTATTCTGATATTTCAGCATATCTAATGGATTAATTCCTATCCCAAACACAGGTCCTGATCCTAAAGACATGAAAACATTAAGTTTTATAATGTAGTGTGTGAACTAAACCTGCCCTCTCCTGAAAGTTTTAAATAACAGTTAAATCTATTACTTGTATCAGAAACCTAAGTAGTTGTTCATAATAATTAAGGCCAATGTTTGCTTTTCCTGGAATACGTAGTTTAAGATGTGTGTTGATTTCTGCTACAGTATCAATTGTTCCATGTGAAAGATTTCTGTTGCTGTTATGTTATGCTGATATATGGAAGAGAGAGCATTAGTATGTACATAAAGAGTGACAATACAAAAGAATATTGTTAGGGCACATATATAATTCTCTGAAGAAGTATAAATTGTGTTCAGAATATGTATAGAGTGCTTCCACATATACCCGATAGTCAGGCAAATTCTGCTTTGGACTGTGCTTTGCAAATGGGTGGGAGATCTGGTTTGCTGGACCTGAAGGACTCAGCTCAGTGGTTAAGTCAGTTATTTCTTCAGGTTGATTACTGATCATGTAACCAACCCAAACTCAATTTTCTTTAATTGTCTGTAGTCTCACATTTAAATTGCAAAACATTTAAGATTTTGCTTTGTTGATGCAGATTCTTTCCCAGTGATATCTCCGCCAGAAAACTGTAGAGTATCTGAATTGGGTCCAACTATCTTGAGAAATGCTGGATCACCACCAGCACCTCACATCCAGAAGCAAAGGGCTCCCTCTCTGGTTAAATACTGTTTTCTGCACTGTCACTTGCTTCATCTTGGATTTTTCAGAAAGAGAGTGAACAACAGTGATTCTTAACCAGAATGGAATTTTTTGCAGATATGAGGTCCTACAGATATTTGTTTGCCCTTTCCTTTCATTTTCCTATGACTTCCTTAATTTCCAAACATAAAGTTATTTTTGTATTCTAGATATCTTCTCTTCAAACAACCATTCAGAATAGGCCCTAGAGCGTCTTTTCAGATGCTGGACCAGAGGAATTATAGATCTAAAGACAGAGTGTATCAATAGGGTGGAGAGATTTGTAAAAGGAGCTCTGGGACATTTGCTTATTATTTGTGCAGTGCCATATAAGCTTCTATACACTCTTACCAAGGAATCCAGGTGAAAACAGAGTATTCTCTAAAAAGATTCTGTAGTTCTCTCTAGATATGTTAGTTAATGAGTGTTTTCAATTCTGTGAGGCATAATTACAAAATAACATGTTGATTTCTATATGTGTGTCCTGATAAACTCAGTTTTATCTTGAATCTATGTAGAAAAATCAGGTTCATAAGTGTCTTTAATCAGAAGCACCATCTTCCATCTCTTTTTCTTTAAAGACAATTTTGAAATTCTATAAAGAAAAAAGAGTGTGTTCTACTGCCCAGTGAAGTTACAGCTCCCTAAAAATTTTCTGTTTTCCTGGACTACAGATAAAAGTCAAAAATAAATTACAGGAAAACTTCATCATCACTGGAAAGACAGGAGTTAGAATACACTGTTATACTTCAGAATTATTTAAACACATTAAAAAAAAATTGTCATTTTAGCTTAAAATATTATCCAACAAACCAATGACAGGAAGAATCCACAGTAGTTTTCTATATTGTGGAAAAGAGACTTTTTGCTGCCTGCAAACCTTCTCTGTAAGTTGCCATAGTAAAAAACTATTAGACACAAATCACAATAACATCATAAAGCCTCAGTACCCTTAGCTTTAGTAAATTAGTTAAATTACCCAGTAATAAAATGAGTATCCTACCTCAACTTTGTGAATTCCAGTTCCTGTTACAAAAGAGAGAAAGGAAAACATTTTCAGAAAAGGGTGCAGAAAGAAAGACTGACATTGTTTAGCAAATATTTCACAGAAAACAAGTTCATAAGTTTGATTAGAAGAAAAATTATATAAAAAAGAATGTTCCCGTTATAGAAAGGAAAGAAATATTTTTTCCTATATATAATCTCTGGCTATAAGACATTTTTCAATTTATTAAAATATTTTTTATGACACCTCACCACATAAAGTGAGGTATTATCATAGGAGAGAATGACAACTAGGAGAATCTGTGCTCCAATTTACCGATAACAAAGAAATTTTAAAAAACATGAAACTGAAATTCAAATATATTTTAAAAAGTCACTAGCCTGAAGTTTTAGCCCTGTCTTTTAATCAGCTAAGCAATAAAACAAATTAAACTTTTTCTTTAAACATTAATATATGGTTCTCTAAGTTTCTTTTTCGGTCATGTTATCAGTCATCCTCATTTCAGTTCTGACTTTTTAATGTAACCTGGTGCTAATGTGTGCTCTGCTGTTGCTGTTGCAATGACTGTACATGATACACTTTCCCAATAGTGCCAAAAGTCTGGAAAATTAGGGACTAAAGATCAGGAAAGACACAGTCTAAAAATAATTTTAAAATAAAATATGTCAGAAGTGAAATTTATCTACTACAAACCACAAACAATTACAAGAGGTTTTTAGAAGGATTTAAATTTGTTTAGCTCTTGCAAATTTCCTCCATAGTATAAAAGCCACAATCTTGACTTTTTACCCATGAAATTTATTCTCTTCTCTTCAGTTACTTCCTTGGAGGTGGAGTGAGAAAAACTTGTAAGACATGGTAAGAAGTGTATAGATGTAGGATTTAAATTTTTTCTTCTGTTTTGATGGTCTCAGGCACTATCAATACCAATATCCATATCATATTACATATTTGACATTCTTTAATTTAGTTTGTGCACCAAACTACATTCCTCTGAGAATATAGGAGGAATTTAAAATATAGAGAAAAAGGAATTGTCAAATAGATGGCTGCAGCTCTTAGTAAATGATCAAGTAAAATCTCTATACAAGAGAAAAAGAGACAAGTCATCTGGATGACAGGTTTTTGGGATTTTTCTTTTAATGTTTTCATTAATTAATGGCTTTTTCAAATCTATATTTTGCAATGTAATCTGCAACAGTTGATCATAATTTTATTTTATGTCAGCCAGTGCCCTGCAAAACCTGTCCTTATAAGGCTCAGATTCTTTCAGAAATCCACTTCATATTTATGTTTAAATAAAGCAGACGAATATCATCTTCTTTCTTATTAACACCTCTGCAGGAGATAAAAAGCCCCCACTCTTCCTTTGTATCCTGTCACTTCCTTGATATAGTTACAATACTGTCAGAAAAATTCTCCACGCCTTAAGGAAAGGAGAAAGTTTGTGGAATTAGAATTTCATATTTTTGATGAACCTGAACTAATCTTGTAAACTCTTTAAAACTTAATCCTACCACTTTTTTTCAAACTGTTGCTTAGAATCAATATCATGTTTCCCCTCTAATAACAGCTCTCTAGGGTACTTTATGGATTTTTAAATATTTTTATTCATTTGCTTTACTTTTCTAGAAATACGTATCATAGTTTGAAAAAGATTGCCTAAGAAGGTAGGGTTGATGTTTGAATATCATGGCAAGCAAGTGATGTAAGATCCTGTAGACTTTACTAATTTTGGGAAAAATTCTCTGTGGTGTTTCTCCAGTTCTGTTAAAAATCCTAATTTCAGTCCTTTTATGCCTGGTAAGATTTTTTTTAATTTAATTTTTTTTTTGTACTTCAGGCTTTAGAATGTGTCAGTTTATGGGCTTTATTTCATCTTTTTCTGCTTAGCCAGTGGGAGTCAGTCTTGAAATTTTGTTTGATTGAGCATAGCAGCCACATTATGCAGAATCTCATTCACTGAAGAGACTAGATAATAATAAGACTGTTACAAATAATTTAGGAGAAATTATCACCAAGTAAAGAAAGAGATCAATTTGTTGGATAGTGTCAGGTGCCTGAATGCACCAATCCCTGTGTAGAGGAATCAGAGGGTTTTAAAAACATTGCTGATAAAGAAGACAAAACCTAAAAGACCCCTGAACTGAAGTCAATACTACACCCTCTGGTAGCATGACCTATTCTTCTGAGATGCCTTGCTTTGGAGTGTCCAGGTCAGGGACCCTCAATGCAAGAAAGACGACCTGCTGGAACCAGTCCAGAGTCAGTACTTTGATTTTAGGTGTTTGAGCAGCTTGCCTGTGAAGACAGGCTGAGAGAGGTGGGGCTGTTCAGCATGGAGACCTTACAGTGGCTTTTTAGTACCTAGTGGGTACCTACAAGAAAGCTAAAGAGGGTCTTTCCACAAGGGCACATAGTGGCAGGACAAGGGGGAATGACCTTAAGATGAAGGAGAGTAGGACATGTAGGAGTGGTCAGGCATTGGAACATATTGTCCTAGAGATGTGGGCTCCACATCCTTGGAGGTGTTCAAGACTAGGCTGGGTGGGATTCTGAGTAAACTGTTCTGGTGGAAGATTTCCCTGCTCTTGGAAGAAAGGATGGAACGAGATGATCTTTAGGGTCCCTTCCCACACAAACCTTTTCATGATTATCTGATAATGAAGTTATTGGTGAAAAGTTATTGTCAGTGACACTTAAGGAGAGTCATATTAGACACTATTAAGGCAGGATCATTATCTGTATATCATTACATAGCAAGAATTACAGCGACTGAAACATCAAGTATAGTGTCAAGTGCCACATTTACAAATTTCTCCTGTTACATAGAAATATATCGTTTTCATGAGTTTTCATGAACATCTTAACAAGTTATTTGGTTTTCTCTCCCTTCTTTTTCTTTGTATTTGTGTTGACTTAGTTTAAAGCAGACTTGGCCTTATTCCTTTCTTCTCTACTTAGAACTGTATTTCATGCTTATTCTGATCAGTCAGAAAACCAGAAAAAGAACACAAAGAAATAAGATTTAATTTCAAGTGAATGATTGTTTCTTTGAATTTTTCTTACACATAGTGGCTATCTCTTCTCCAGTGTTTTGCCATTCTAGCTATTCACAAGACTTTTGCTGTGGATCATTAAGTTAATGAAATAACTTCAAAAGAAAATGTGCCTTTCCAAGCCTTTCCAGACACAATTTTGATACTGCACTTGCTCTGTCATTGGAATATTGACTATTACAGCTTCACTGCCTATGAGATTGGATTAAGATTCTGGAAATAACTTTTTTTAAAGGGTTGAAATTACATGGGGCTTTAAGTGTTTTAGATAATGAGGCCTTGGATCATCTCATCTTGCATGCTGCCTGCCTTTAGTTTGATATTTGGATCACAAAACTAGCAATCTGCCCTGGCTAATGGAGTTTGGAGTTATGAAACAATGCAAATCCTGTGATTAACTGAGGAGTTATAAACATCTTTGGGCTACTTCTGCACTATCATCTTGTGCTCATACTTGATTCTGGGTCTGTAGTATCAGTTTGTTTTCTTGACTTCATAGTATACATGTTCTTGTGGCCCTTAATTATAACAATTCTAGTGAAACTTCAAAAAGTGGATGTCTATAGCCCTATTCATTCTACACAAGAAGAAAATTCACTGGGGAAATTACTTGATCATTATTTCACTTCATGTAATAAGAATTATATTCTATAAGTAATTGCAGTTACCTTCAGTTCCAATTAGTTACCAATTAATACCTTTTATTCCCAAATATATTTTTGAATTATTTTCATTGTCTTTTTCACATTTATTCAGAAATAAATTCAGTGAGTTTGAGATAGATTGGATTGCAGATTTTATAATGTATTCTGGGGTTTTTTTTTTTTTGGCAAGTCAACAATCAAGATATTTTTATATTACTCATCATCTTCATCCATGAAGACAAGTCAGCATGATAATTTAATGCTACGAGTGTAACTCCAGTTTTATACTGTGGGTTTTTTTCCCAGATGGTAGTCATTAAAGGGAAATCAAACACAAGACATGGAATACACTTGGAAGACTTTAGAATATAGCAATGGAAAAATATTACATATTGTATGTTTTTAGTTGGTCTTTCTTCCAATAGTCTCTTTCAAAAAATAAACCACAGCAAATATTAAATGAATTTCAGCTTCACACATCTAATAGTGTGCCAGCTTAATTGTTTTATTTCCTTCAAGTAGTGAATAACCAATCCTGATTCAGCCTATCATTTAAAAATCTAATATTCTCTACAGAAAACAACTATTCTTGGTCATAATACCAGTTGTCTTGTCTAGTCTTTCTGACATCACAGGAGCAACACAGATATTTTCTGAATTTGGGTTGTTATCCATCACATCAAAGTGTGCAATAATATTTCTTGTTATTAGGAATTCTGAAAAATGTGTTGCTTATTTAGAATAAAATAACTGGTTTGTTTTTTGAAAAAGCTTTACCATGAAAAAAAAAACACTTGCTTTACATTTTCTATTTAATTTTTATATCCTGTTTAGAATTGTTATGGAAATACTATTAACATAAATAAGGAAGACTGAAAGCAAGGCAATATTGCAGACTATTTTAATATAAGGAAGAAACAATCACTGTATGATCAATTAATTTAAAATGAATCCTTGTGGATTTTACTTTGTTTGTTTGGTGGGTTGTTTTTTGATTTTGTGTGTGTTTATGTGTTTTATATTGAACTGTAGGAAATACTGGAAATGTTCAATCTTGACAATGTTTGGCTAAAAAATTGTTTTGTGTGTGGTCTGCACTCTTGATAGTAAGGAATACTATTAAAATTGGTGACCAGAGAAAAAATGAGGTAGGATCCCAGTGGTTTTTACAGTATTGGTTTAATACAGTCTATTGGTTTTCTATACAGCCTATTGGTTTAATATTTAAAATATCAGATATAAATTCAGCATTTGGAGAACTGCCAGAATATGAATTATAATATCTGGGTCACTGCCTGTTTAAACACTATTATCTTC